CTAAGAAAAATCGAAGGAAGCAAAAAGATGAACCAAAAAAAGTCAAGCCTGGACATGTTAGCAGGATTGGTCTTATTATGACTTGTAAAAGATGTGGTGGACAAGGTCATAATAAAAGATCATGTACTACAAACCAGGTATTTATGGTTTATGTATTCAAATTGTTTTAAAAGTTCAAGTTAATGTTAGATTTTTATAGTATAATTTTCTGTTGCAGGACCTTAATATCGATGGGAATTCTTCGATAAGATCACCAAGTACAATCGATTCAAACCCAACACACGTATCAAGGAAAGGAAAGGAAAAAGAAAAGGCATGTGTTACTTCTGATAGATCAATGAGGAAAAAAAGATATGAAGGGATAAGCCTTTACACAAACTTGGGGACTGGAGAGTAGACATTCTATGTAAGAACATTTTAAATAAGTAGCAGTATTTTTTTCGAAAACCTAATTAATGTTTGAATTTTCTAATATGTTATCAGTCTGGTACAAGAGCACCAAAGAAAAGGAAAGGAACTGAGGATCATTCGGGCACTCAAGAATCAGTAGCACCAAAAAAGAAGAAATGAATTGTCTGATCGAGTGGGTCTTTTGGTTGTGATGCTTTTTGTTAGGGTATATGTTTTGGGTTGAGCTTCTTTTTGTGTATGGCAAATATCTGCCTAACTTCATATGATATACCTTGCAGCAGTAATATATGTTTTTTTTTTGTGTATGGCAAATATCTGCCTAACTTCATATGATATACCTTGTAGCAGTAATATATGTTTTTTTTTTGTGTATGGCAAATATATGCCTAACTCAAGAATCAATAACATTTCTTTTCGATTATTTTCTGTTTATTCGGTTTATGCATATTAACTAGCCAATATAATAGAAAACACTAAACACTTAATATTATACATAGTCATTTCTTCTCAATAGGCAACAATCATACACTTGGTATTACACAGACATAAACACTTAATCTTTAACAAAACACCTAAAGTTCTATTGCAAGTACAATTACCACAAAGATACATATGACACACACCATTGAGCAAATACACATGGTCTTATAAAATTTATTTTCTTTCTTCATTGTTTTAGATTTTTCCTTCAAGCTCATAATCTTTGCCTTTAATTCATTGTCATTGTCTTCACTTTGCACAATTCCAATCTCATTAACTTTGCTTTGAACACTTTCACTTTCACTCTCTTCCAACAACACACTATTCCTTTGAGTAGTAGAGGAACAACTTCTAATATGTCTTCTAAGTCTTGCATTCTCTTTCGTTAAATTTCGCTCACTATCACGTAATTGTCTTAGTAAGTAATTAGCTTGATCTGGCATGCTACCATTATACCATTCAAAATACCTACAACCGTGCTACAATAAGGGGAAAAGGCATATTTGTTATCAATCGATATATGCAACAACATTTTATCATTCAAGCTAAATAATACAAGGTAATTATAAACATATTCTTACCGGAAAATTTGGGCAACCGTAATACCTTCTTCCGGGGTTTAAATCGCTCTATGAAATTTCCCTAGATGCCAATTTATTGCAATAACACTTCTTTGGGTCACCATCGTAAACGAAATCTCGTCGCGAAGCACTAACGATGGTTGGACATGCAAACCTGTCCATTACATAATCTATAATACAACCCAAATAAAAAAAACAACGTTAATTATTAAATTAATTCGAGTGATATTCACAAATCAATGTTCATTTCGAACTAAACCAAATAAAAACTTGAATGAAAGATAACTTAATCGAAAAACCATTCGAAACTGGCACATACCCAAAACATTTAACAAAACTAAATCAAAAACCCATTCGAAATTGAGGAGATTTCATGGAGTCGAATGTGAAAGGGGATTTGCAATTTCATGTAATTTATGATTCCATTCAAACAAATCAATTCACCTTCAAAATATACGCTTAATTGATCGGTTTGAGGCTGCTGCTTGAAGGAAAATTCGTTCTCGTAGAGGAGATTTGATGGAGTAGAAATTGAAAGGGGAAATGCGATTAGGGTTTTAGTTTAATTTGCATTTGGGGATACTTGGGTTTGGGGGGGGAAATACCGTTTGAAGCGTATATGTATGCTAAACGCGCGTATAATTTTTTTTAAAACCTGGACATATATTTTTGGTTTATTAGCATAATGTTAGACATACTTATCGAGTAACATGCCTGGCCTGGTGGCAAGGGCCATCCCATTTCACGCCCTTGCCCCAAGTTCGAACCCCATCCACTGCGTTATGAGCCTTTCATCCCTTCTATCAAATACACGCCAATGGGAGAGTGACATGTGTCACTTTCCTACTTATTCACATTTTTTATTTATACTTTATTAAAAAAATCAGACGTGTAATTCCACGTCAGCAAAAAAATAATGACATGGAAATGCCACGTCACCATCGATGGCCACATGTGCATGCCACGTCGGATGGACCCGTTGACCGTCAGTTGACTGACGGATTCCATCCAACGGGGGGAGACTTATGCCTCATAAACAAACGTTGTGGGTAGAACTGCTCCAAAAAAACGATTTGGGCACAAATGCATATAGTGCCAAACGTTAGGGGCATTTGTTTGCATTATGCCTTTTATTTATAATATGTTTTATTCCTTCTAAAATTTTATAAGTTTATTTTCTCTAAAATTTTATAAGTTTACCTCTAACATAAAATCTTGAATTAAGTTTTTTTTCTCTAGCTTGAGATTAATTTGAAAATCCACAAATTTATAATCTAGAAAAAAATAATTGATTTGAGGTTTTTTCGATTTCTTTATTTTTTTCCTAGTCCTGTTCTCCTAAATTATTCAGTCTTCCTAATTTGTTTATCTATAAGTTTTACTTGCAATCTTTTTGTTTCTTCTTCTCTTCGAATATGTTATCAATAATTAAGTAAGGACGAATCTTATTATTTTTATTTTTATTTATAATATGTTTTCCTCATTTTAAAATTTTATAAGTTTATTTTCTCTAAAATTTTATAAGTTTACCTTTAACATAAAATCTTGAATTAAGTTTTTTTTTTCATTTTCCTTCTATCTTGAGATTAATTTGAAAATCCACAAATTTATAACCTAGAAAAAAATGAATGATTTGAGGTTTTTTCGATTTCTTTATTTTTCCCCGGTCCTCTTCTCCCAAATTCTCCAGTCTTCCTAATTTGTTTATCTATAAGTTTTACTTGCAATCTTTTTGTTTCTTCTGCTGTTTGAATCTGTTATCAATAATTAAGTAAGGACGGATTTTATTATTTTTATTTATAATATGTTTTCTTCCTTCTAAAATTTTATGAGTTTACTTTCTCTAAAATTTTATAAGTTTACCTATAACATAAAATCTTGAATTAAGTTTTTTATTTTCATTTTCCTTCTCTATTGAGATTAAGTTGAAAATCCACAAATTTATAATCTAGAAAAAAATAAATGATTTGAGGTTTTTTCGATTTCTTTATTTTTCCCGGTTCTATTCTCCCAAATTCTTTAGTCTTCCTAATTTGTTTATCTATAAACTTCAATTGCAATCTTTTTGTTTCTCCTGCTGTTTGTCAAAAATTTAAAATTTTTAGTATATCAATATTTATTTACAAATTACAACGATATAATTTTTTTTCTTTTAAACTTCATTTTGAACATAAAATTAGAGAACAAGTGTAAGATTTTAGCATATTGATACTTATTTACAATGTAATAATTCTTTTTCCTTTAAACTTCATTTGAAACTGTAGTTAGAGAAACAACGTAATTCTTTTACCTATTTACACTGACATAAATTATTTCTCTAAAAAAAGTATCAAATAACGCAAAATAATTTACAGAACATAATCTAATCATATAAATAATTTTCAGAAGTAATTTTCTTGAAAAAAATATAATTCAACATTAATTTTCCAAAATCTGTTCCCAAAATTAAACTGGAGCTTGATAACAAACAAGGTCCTAACTCCTAAATGGAAAGAACATAGATACAAATCATGGAGTTACTAACAATTAATTGGTCTAGTGGGATAAATTATAGAGTTATTAACAATCAGTTGGTTTAGTGGGATAAAACACTAAATCTCCTAAGCAAGGTCATGAGTTTGAATTCTGATGCTTGCGAACTTAGTAAATTGAAATGGAAGGGTCACTCTTACTTCTGCAGTACTCCGTCTGAATTAATTGATCAATAGATTGAATATCGGTGATTATACAAAAAAAAAACTATAGAGTTTTATCCACCACTGCTCACATTTTACCATCGACAAAAATCAATACGCATAACTAGAGGTACACAAAAAATCCGAATATCCGATTTTGTCTAAAAAATATCTGAAACCGGATTTTGGAAAAATCGGTTTTTTTAAACCGGATCGGATTTTTAAAAACCGGATAGTATAACCGGTTAGGGAAAAAATTGAACGACCGGTTTTTTTACCGGATTAAAAACCGGTTTTTTAAAAAAAACCGATTTTTTTGCAAACCGAAACCGGTTACACCGGTTACACCATCCGGCCCTCCAAACCGGTTAAAATCCAATCCGGTTTTTTAAAAATCCGGTTTTTGGGTTGGGGGAAAAAACCGGATCGGGTTTTATCCGATCCTGATTGAAATCTGGCTTCTGTGCATCTCTACGCATAACTGTCAACTCCCCCCCCCCCCTCTATCTACATGGTACACAACACACTTATCCAAATATCCTTATAACCTCCAAAAATAAAAAAGATGCACCTCATTACTATACTTCAGCAACTTTCAGCGGGTCCTAGATGAACCCCAGACAGATTTCTCAATTATCAAAATTTAAACCATGGCATTGAGGGGAAAAAAAATGCAAATCCTTGGTTGAAGAATGACGAAATGAATCATTGTCTTTTAAAGAAAGACCATTATTAGATGATCGCTTGCTAGGTCAATATGTTTCAGCAACATCAACTTCAACGTGTTCAATGATGGCATCTTATAAACAACAAAAGGAATTTCATACAAACATGAAAGGCAAAAGATAAGGGAGAGGAAAAAAATGAATCAACTGCTGGAATAACAATACCAAGGGCATTAAAGTTTTAGTACATGAAGCATCATCCAAAGAAAGCAGGATGAATAAGCAAAAATTAAAGAAAGAAAGTAGCCATCTAAATTTATTGCATTCCTCTTCATCTCGAATCCAAATATTGCTATCACTCTATTAAGCAAGCACTATTAGTAAGGTGTAGAGGCAAGCAATTGAACATTCAGATATACATTCTGTCAATTCAATTTCCTTACAAAAACAGTAATGAACAAAGTGATAAATGGGTAATGTCGTTCCTAATTACCTATAAAAGAGAATTACGAATCCTACCTCAGCTATTAACTTCAATCGTTGAAGCCACCTGTTACAAGAAAAGGATTTGAACATTATGATTGCATGACTTTGCTTTGTTTGATACATGCAGGGACCTTGAAATCCTGGCATTTCTGCATTGATGAACCTTCAATTGAAATAACACCATCATCGGAGGGTTCCAAGGTAAAATAGGTCTTAACAGCAGCAGCTGAATTATCCATGTTCTTTTCGGTCAGTGGAGAGTTCTTACTAATCATGTATTCCTTTGGGTTCACTCGATCCTAAAGGAACAAACGCTCAGGGGCAGCCTCTTTAGCTTCATTCTTCCCCTCTTTTACCAGGGTTACATCCTCAAAGCTTTTTCCTTCGAATGGCTTGATCTTGCTTCACCATTATCCAACTCTGATTGCCCAGATTTTTCATATTTAGCATCCTTTGCCTCTGCTTTAACAGATTCCTCCATGGAGTCCTCAGAATCGATTTCTCCTGCTATAGTACCTCCATTGTATGTAGAAGACGGGCTTGCACCCAATACTATACCTCCATTGGAAGCTTTTGTTTTCTCAAGAGTTGGCATGATCTTAGGCCTCTTATGTTTATGACCTCTCCATTCAGAAGGTGAATTCTTTGAGATTCTTGGGGAACTGTTGATGGCTCGGTGCAATTTCCGGGCTAAGTCTTCATCTGTCCTAGGACTCTCAACTGGCTCGTGTTTTTTGTACAGGAGTTGTACAGGCACATGTTTTTTGAGCTTATTCTTTTTCAGGCGTCTGTCACTGTCTTCAGAAAATTTTGCTACTACATCCAATGCACTCTTAGCTGCAGCAACAGCTTTAGTGGCAATTGCAGCCTTCTCCTCTGCAGCAGCTCTGGCAGCCACTGCAGCTTTAGCAGCAGAGGTAGCTGCCGCTCTAGAGGCCTCCAAAATCTCCTCAGGAGAAAGGTTTGGGTTGTACAAATGAGAACTCATCAATAGATTCTTAAGATGGGCATTAACATCGCTTGACGATGTAGAAGGTGAAGGTGAAGTTGAATGTGAACGTGGAGGAGATGAAGAGGAAGAAGCAACCGTAGGCTGATCTGAAGTACCATTGGCTTTAGAAGCCTGTTTCTTAAATCCTGCCAGCAGCCGTTTCCGAGGAGGCAGGAGGACATCGGCATCCAAGTGATTGATGTCACAAATGTTAGCCTCCATTGACATCCCTTCTCCAATTTATCAAAATCTGAAACATCAAAGCAGAAGTAATTGTCTATATAGATAATCTGAACGTTCTAATCACATCCACGCTAAAACATCAATAATCATAGATTCCAGAACAATATCTGAGTTCTCAGCGCCGTCATAATAATAGTATATATCCATCAAATTTAGAAAGGAAAACGTACAGGTTTGGAAAGTAGCATAAACTCAAGAGGTTCTAGTACAATAATCGGAATCGAAAGATGTTTCATGTGCCGTAAATGACAAAAAGAACGAAAGTTTGAAAACCCTAACGGTAAATTCGGTTATATTAGAGCTTCCGGTTTAAATCAAAAGAACAAAAAAATAGGAGGTCAACAAAAAAGATGATCATGCAATGAAAAATGAATTGCCAAGTTTAAAGATTATATCGGGAAGCAGATGCTACGAATGAGAGCAACAAAACTAAAACGTAAAAAAGACAGGGCGATTGATAAAATAAAAAGAGAGAATTACAGGAACGTTAAGCGAAAAATGCAAAGCAGAAGCTTTGATTGAATGGAATCGTGAGATGCAAATGAAAACAGAGTGAATTAGTAAAGAAAAAAAGATGGAATTTTGATCCAATACCTGATCATTATGCGGAGGGTATGCAGCTTGGTTGGTGTCACAGAGAAAGAGTTTGTTTGGATTGGATTGCAAACAGAGAGATGATTTAAGAGATTTGAGAAGAAGGATAATTAGGGTTTTTTTTGTTGATATTTTTATTTATATTAAATTATAATTATATAGGGTATACATTTGTGTTAGCTTTGAAGGCGAGAGCGAGAGGAAACACGAAAAACGAAGATCTTTTGTCGTCTTCCTAAGTACGAATTAATTAATCAAAATTAAATAACAGTAATATTTATTTGTACTAATTCTGTTTCTAGTCCTTTTACTATTTATACATTTAAATTTTAATCTTTTTATTTCTAATCTTGCAATTTTTTAACCGTATTTAATCTCTACAATTTATCCTCAAATATTTTTAATTTAATAATTTAATTTTAATTGACAGATAATTGTGTAAAATATTTTCCTTAATTCAGATTATAATTTTTTTATATAAAATAATGTAATTTGTATTACATACATGGAAGATTGAATAAATAGAAAAGATTATATATAAAGTGATAAAAAATTTATTATAAGAATTTCCAACATTGTTTTAAAGAAGTAAAATAAAATTTTATAATTTTCTTATATTACTTTTATGCCGCTTTAAATTTTCTACGTGAATGATTTTTTATATAATTTTATATAATTCAATGTTTTTTATGACATTATTAGTTAGACTTATAGTATTAAATCAAACAATAGATAGATTAAATTCATGTGAAAAGAGTAAATTTTAAATGTGTAAAGATCATGAGGATTGGAATCAAATTAGACCTTATTTATTTAACTAATGGTGTAGCCCGATCCACGACAGTACCAAACTGAAAAGTGAATTGCGGGAAGAAGAAAAAACCCTGAAATGCGAAATCAATGTAATAAACCTTAAACCTTAGCTCAGGTGAGATGATCTCGAACTCAACTTATTGACTGTAGCTTCGGAGATTTTGTTTTCTCCGCAATAGAACTGTTTATCATTTTCCTTTATGGAAGGCTTTTCCAACCCTAATCTGTTGCCAATACCTTGTTTTAGGCACTCCTTTTTTTGTGAATTTAAAGCGGATTGGATTTGATGCGTATATTTGTGTAAATTTTCATATAGGCTAGATCAGAATTTTCATATAGGCTATATCAGGCTTGTAATGGGGAGCATTAAGCCCTTTTCAGAGGCTGTTCACGCGACATTGCGTTCTGCCAGTATATTGTTTGACTTCTCTAAGGTTGTGGAGGAGCTCATTTTCAATAGCCTCGATGCTGATGTGTCGAAGGTTTTAAATTTCAACAACTAACTCATAAATAAGCTATACGATAAGAGCTTTGTGTTAAGAGAGTAGTTGTTTCTTATTCATGAAAGTCAGTCAACCCATCATTCCACAACCATGAGTGAGAAAAGTAGAGAGAGAAAGAGAGCGGGTGCGTTTGGTCGTTCATTCTCCGGTGAGGAATGGACTGTTTTTGTTGGAAATCTTAGTAAGAGAGTTACCATAAGTGAGTTAAGAGAGATTTTCAACCATTATGGTAGAATAGTGAGGGTCTTTATCCCAAGTTTTATGGTTAAAACGAATTATAAGTCATCCACGTTTGCTTTTGTGCAATATGCGATGGAGGAAGATTGCAGAAGAGCAGTTATGAATGTAAATGGAACGCTGATTGATGGGAAGAGAGTCACTGTGGGGGTGGCTAAGTATAAGAGGGGCAGGAAGAGAGATGCAGAGGTTAAAAGATCTCAGCTGGAAGGAATGAAGCCATTTAGAGAAGCTAATGGTAGACAGCAGGTTGACTTGGAGTCACCGAGAAGTTTGAGAGATGGCAGAACGTATAAGGAGGTTGTGAATGTGGATAACAGTAGGAGTGTGGATCAACAAAGAAGGGTGAACAGGGAAGGTCAGAAGAAAGCAAAAGGAGTAAGAAATGTCTGAGATATGCACATCCCATCAGAAGATTTTTGTTGGGTGAAAAATTCCTTAACAGGGATTTTTAAAGATACATTTCAGCCTGTTATGGTGGTGCGAGCTTTGGCAAAAGAGGGGTTCCAGGTCAAGATAGTAAAGTGGGGTTACGTTAGGAACGCATGCATTATTATCTTCAATACAAATGAAGAGTTCTTGAAGGCGTGGTCGAGTCTTAGAGAGAAACTTTACTGCTGGTTTGATTGGGTAGATCCATTGTTGAGTGAAGATGGAGTCCCTTTGGATTATTGCTTGGTCGAGTTGGTTGGGTTACCGCTTCTTAGCTGGAGTATTCCTTTTCTAGAGAAGCTTGGAGGAAAGTGGGGAAATGTTGTTTTGTATCCCGGAGGAAACAAGAAACAGAGATGACTTCTCTTCGGCTAGAATGCTGCTAAGGGTGGCAAGTCCGTTTGATGTACAAGAATCTGTTATTGTAGGATCTTATGGCAGATCGTTTAAAGTTAAAATTAATGTGGGATCCAGCTCTAATGCTTTCTCTGAAGCTTATGGAGACGTGAGGCAGATTTTGTCATTTGGCAACTGCAGTGACGAAGTGTCAAAGGAGGAAGATGGTAGAAACAAAGATAAGGTAGGAGACAACAGGGAGAACTCTGCAGAAGGTTTCTGGTCAAAAGTTGACACGTGGCTTCAGAACAGTCAAGAAAGGAGGACATTAGAAGAAGGTGGGGAACATGATTTGGAAAATAAGTCAGACACTCTGCCCAATAGTAATGGGGTGTCAGACAAGTTTTGAATTTGAATTAAATCCCAGGGGGGATTTTGCAGGCCTTGGGCTGAGAGAGGTTGCGGTCCAGAGTTCAGCCCATTCGGAGTCTAATTGGGAGTCTTATTCTCCTGTTACTAAAATTATTCCAGCTGGCCCTGCTGTGAAGTTGAATTGGGCTAGGCCAGCAAACAAGAATAAGGAGCAGAATCTGTCTGAATTTTTGGCAGAAGAAAGAAGTGTATCAATAGAAGAAGGAAAAAATGGGGATCTGGAAGATGAAGATATTATGCTAGGTTTGTCAATTAGGAGTGCTCCTGTTGGCAGAAGGGGAAGAGGATGCTATGCTCGAGTTTATAAAAGGTCAAGAGATAGAAGAATATGGTTGTGTCCAGCTATTGAAGATGATGTCTTCTGTCCCATGGCTTCTCCGAAGCTTAAGCAGAACAATTCTGTTCCTAGAAGTATAAAGCAGTTTCCTATTAATAGTATTGGAAAGGGACAAGATAAGGACTTCAATGGTTCTGCCGATTTTCAGAATACATCTACGATCCCTACCATTTGTAATGATGTTGTTGAAAGGGTGGAAGTAATTTCTGTGAATGCTTCAGGGAAAGGAAATGAAAAGAGAAGGAAGAGAAGGAAGAGGAGAGCCTTAATTTCTGAAGCTATTGACTTGGTTAATATTTCGACTGCTTCTTCTTCCTCTTTTGTGGAATTACTGAAGGAAGCAGTGGATACTTGGGAAGTATGTGAGATGTTAGGTATTTCATTTAAGGAAGGGAAGGAGGCTTTTATGATAAATTATTATGTCTTGGTCAAGAGACAGATGCAGTTAGGGTGGATGAAGGCTGCTCAGTTTTAGCTGAGTGTAGGGGGAGTAATTCTTTTTTATGAATAATTTTAGTATTATTTCGTGGAACATTAGGGGTCTTGGGAGGAGGGAGAAGTGTGTAGCTGCAACAAGGTTAGTCAAGAAGACGAAACCAGTTTTTCTTTTCATTCAAGAATCTAAGTTGGAAAGATGCCATGGGGCGATTTTTAGAAGGATTGGAGGCTTGTTAAAGGGGGTGTTGGTTTCTCCAGCACAGGGGTCATCGGGGGCTTGATTACATTGTGGAATGAGAACGTGGTTCAAGTCATTGATCAATATGCATAGTAGGTTTCTGGCGTTAGTAGGAAATCTAAGCATGGTTCTATGGAGTTTGTAGCTATTAATGTTTATGGGCCTACAGTCGAAGCTGAGAAGGAGGTTTTTTATGGGGAGTTGCTGAAGTATGTTAGAGCTCTAAATTTACCAGTGTGTTTAGGGGAGACTTCAACGCGTATCTTGATTCAGAAGAAAAGATAGGCAAATCACAAAATTGGCATACTATTGATATTTTCAGGTCATTCGTGCAAATGCCAATCTCATTAACTTGCCTATGTCAGGAGGTTCTTTCACTTGGTGCGTAATAGAGAATCTTCAACATGGGTGAGATTGGACAGGTTCCTTATTTGCGCAAGATTCCTTAAGATTTTCCCTAACATTGTGCAGTCGATTTTACCGAAATCTATTTCAGACCATAATCCAGTCTTGTTGGAGGATAATCTACAAATTGGGGTCCAAAACCATGTAGGTTCTTTAATTTTCTTTTAGAAGAACAAGGTTTTGATGATTTAGTTGCAGACTCACTGGAAGTAGAAGATAAGAAGAACAATAGTGGTGGAATTTTTAGAATCCTGCAGGGTGCAAAAAATGAAATCAGAAACTGGTCTGGAAGTGGACATTTAGGGCTGTCAGAGTCAATTTCGTTGCTGGAAATTAAAATTAACAGTCTGGATTTAAAGTGTCAAGGTAGAAAGTAGTCTGCAGGGGATTGGGCACAATTGATTGAGTCTAAAAAGGAATTATGGAGACTGTTAAGGATCGAGGAGAATTTGGTTTCAAAAATCTAAACAGATGGATTAAAGATGGCGACAGGAATACAAGGTTTTTCATCTTAGTGCATTGAAAAGGAATAGATTCAACATTATTCATTCTATCAATTTTAAAGGCAAAGTTATTTCGGATCCAGAAAAGATAAAAGACAGTGTGTTTAAGTTTTTCAAGAATGCATATAATGAAAAACTACACTGGAAGTTGAGGGCTTGAATTTTGATTTTAAACAGTTGTCTCAAGTTCAAAGTGATTCTCTAGAAGAGGTGTTTACAGAGCAAGAAGTGTGGCAAGCAATTTCATCTTCTGATAGTGCAAAAGCTCCAGGGGGATGGTTTCACAATGGGTTTTTACAAGAAGTATTGGAATTTGTTAAAGGTGAAGATTATGGAGTTTTTTTTTTTCAGATTTTTATAATGGAAACAGTGGGTTCATGGGGTGAATCTGCTTTTATTACCTTGATTCCAAAGAAAGGTAATCCTGAGAGTATTGAAGATTATAGACCTATTAGTCTAGTGGGCAGCTTGTATAAGATTCTCTCTAAGGTTCTTTCGAAAAGACTTTCTCTTGTGTTAAAGATATTGTTAGCCCTACACAGTTCACGTTTATTCCGGGGAGGCAATTGTTGGATTGTGCCTGTTAGCAAATGAAGGCATCGATTTTGGAGGAAACAAGGGCTGCAGGGGGTGTTTTCAAAGTGGATTTTAGCAGAGCTTATGACACCGTGGATTAGCAGATTCTGTTAAGGCTTATGAAGGAGATGGGCTTCGAGAAAGGTGGTGTTCTTGGATAAATCAATGTATTTCTACAGCTTCTATCTATTCTACTGAATGGGTCTCCTACAAAAGAGTTTCATATTGCTAAAGGATTGCGACAAGGATGTAGTCTTTCTCCTCTTTTGTTTAATATGGTTGGTGAACTCCTTCATATGATGTTAAATAAAGCTGTGGAATTAGGATTATTTCAAGGGTTTTCTTTTGGAAATGTGCAAAACAGTTTCAATTTGACCCATCTTCAGTTTGCGGATGACTTAATTATTTTTTGTCGAGCCTCCATCACTCAAATTAAAAACGTTAGACGAGTGCTGATGATTTTTAGTTTTATGACGGGGCTTCATCTTAATTTAGTTAAGAGTAAATTGTATGGTATTAATGTGGAGGAGGACACACTGAGAAATTGGGCTATGGACATTGGCTGCTCTATTGGTTCATTTCCGACAGTTTATTTAGGCCTTCCGTTAGGGGTTAAAAGAAACTGTGAGAAACTGTGGGAGCCAGTCCTAGCTAATTTTGATAAGAAATTGGCGGGATGGAAAGCTTCTTCTTTGTCTATGGCCGGTAGATTGGTTCTTATTAGTCGGTTTTATCCTCTTTACCTACTTTTATCTCTCTATTTTTAAGATTCCAGCTAAAATCTGTCAAAAATTAAACTCTTTGATGGCGAATTTTTTATGGGGTGGAGGAGAAGAAAATGCATTGGGTGAGTTGGATTAAGATTTGTAAACCGAAGTGTGGAGGTGGTCTAGGAGTTGTTGATTTGAAGCTTATTAATAGAGCACTATTGGGAAAGTGGGTGTGGAAGTTTGCCAACGAAAAAGAATCTTTGTGGAAAAAGTTCTTATGTTCTAAACATAGTGTTGTTGTCTTTCTATGGATATCAATAAAGTCTCCTCCCACAAGGACTCTTGGATTGGAGAGGTATTGTGAATAGCTACATGAAGGATGATTTCTTTGGAGGATGCATTAGATCTCATGCGAGGTTACAAGTTGGGAATGGCAATTTGATTTTCTTTTGGAATGATACATGGTTGGGGGATTTTCCATTGAAAGTTCTTTTCCCTATGATTTTTGCTCTGTCAACAAATCAAGGGGTAAGGTTGCTGAATTTGGTAGTTTTGATTTGAATGGTTGGGAGTGAAATATTAAGACTAGAGGAATCTATGCGATTGGGAAGTGGCTCAGCTGGTTGATCTATTGGACAAGCTCAATGTTATCAAATTAAATGAATCTTTGGAGGATTGTAGCTTTGGGTTGGCGGGTGAGGGTTTGTATTCCGTTAAAGCTTGCACGAAATCTTTCTACTCAGTGGATGAGGATACTTTAGGTGGAACAAATGTGTTTGGCAAGGTCTGGTTCCTCCTAGAGTAGAGGTTTTCCTTTGCAAGTATCACTTAATAAAGTAGTGGTTAGAGGGGAATTGAAGAAAAGGGGTTCCCTTAGGGGAGGACTCTCAATGCCCCTTTACAATCAAGCAGAGGATCAGTTCAGCACCTGTTTATTTCCTGCCAGTTTTCCTGGGTACTATGGAACATAATCATAGCCTACTGGGGTATCAAGTTAGCCTTACTTACTGATCCTTCTTCAATTCTAATTTCATGGTCTGTTCTTAGGCCATTTTCTAATATGTGGAAGTTTATTCCGGGGGCTGTTTTATGGTCGATTTGGAAGATGAGAAACGAAATTGTTTTTGAAAGAGGCAAGCTGGACACATCCTCATTGTTTTTCACAGTCAGGTTAAGGCTTGCGAAATGGTTCCTAGCTAAGTATCCTTTATCCTCTATTCAAGTGGACTCTCTAATTGGTGATCCTTTATTGGCTGATAATATTTCAACTTCTCTTGATTCGAACAGGCCTGTGGTTTACTGGAGTCCTCCTCCAGTCAATTTTTTTAAGTTTAACGTGGATGGAGCAGTTAGTAGGGTTGGGTTGTTAGCAGGAATTGGGGGCATTCTTAGAGATTGGAATCGGATTAAATTGATGTCGTTTTTAGAAAAAATAGGGCATACTCCTATCATTTTAGCAGAGTTAAAAGCTATCAAAAGAGGAATAGACATCTTTGTGTCATCAGAATGGGTATTGAAGGGAAGGCTTATTATTGAATCTGATTGCAAGTTAGTTGTGGAGTGGTTGAAATATCAGGAGTTAGTTCCACCTTTTCTTTTAAATTTTGTCAAGGATATTGCGGATGCGGTTACTGAGTATGAGGTCATTGTGAGGTGGATTCCGAGAAGCTGTAATTGCGAGGCAGATTTGCTTGCAAAGGAGGGGATTGGGTAGTGGGTCACTTTTTTAGTACTGGGTTCGGAGGTTTTTTATCAAGGCGTTATAAGAGTGTGCTTAAGTTTTATGTATCTTAAAGGAGTGGTTTTAGTTTTATGTAATTTTTACATTATTAATATATTAAGGTTCTCTATTCCTCCTTCCCCTAGTAGGTTCTAACCTCATGGTAAGGACTACTAAGAAGGAGGTGTTTATGAGACCTACTTTTCCTATAAAAAAAAAGAGAGTAGTTGTTTCTCTGTTGCAGTGTTGCTTATATTCTTTTAGGATCTGGTATATCTCAGGATGGATTGGTGTTACTGGGAGAAAGATATGGTTTGCTAAGTAGTATATTTGTTCATGCTTCCTTTTATTTCATGTATTTTCTCTAATGCTCTCAACTTTTTTTTCTCACTAAGTGACAGTGCTTGCTTCATTTCTCTTTATGCATTGCCAGTAACGTCAAAGCTTTCCCATCTGAGTGATTTGGATGCTGCTAGCTGCAGCTTTGACTTTAGGGGAGAAACATTGGCATCTATATCTGATGTTGCTTGAGTAGAAATAGTAACAAAAGCTTATGGAAGGCCAAATGGATATCGTAAGGTCATTGAGGTATATACAGTGACTATTTTGTCATAAACATCTTTTTTTTCTTTTTTTTTTCTGGTAATCATTTTGATATTGGCTGCACTTAACTTCTGCTTGCTTATTCCTTTACAGGGGTTTAAGTGTCTGTATCTTGGAATTGATGATGATAGGAGAGATGTGGGCACAACGGGTATGGCTTTATGTGGCCACTGCATTTGTTAGCTTGCTGGCATTATTGCTTTACTTGAAGATCTGTTCTTGCCTTTTAAATCTTGAAATTCCTTTGTGTGTTAGATAGATGTATTTTCCTCACTTTCCCAAAAGCTTTTGGCGTTTAACCTGAAAGAGATGGTGTTATTCTATACCTTTGAAGTTATGAAGAAATAAAATGAAAATCAGCTAGGTAATCTTAAGCATTAGGACATGACTTGGATGGATGTGAAATCACTTCAAATATAATGAAAAAGAAGTCCTGTCTGGTTGCTCTTCCAATTTTTCTTTTCATTGACTAATGTTTTGATTCCACAGTTGTGGTGCGTGATTTATTTTACAACCAACCTGTTCGAAAGAAACATATGCAATCTAGGCTTGTCGTTTCAATCTCTAGTTTCTTGTATCCCTTATAAGTTAACATGGTTATTAAACTAGCTATTGGTTACACCTTCTGAAATCTCTTCTGTTACACTGAACTGATGCTTGTGATTTGCAATGCTGAATTTGAAGCCCGATGAAGGTGCTGCACTCTATTAAAAAGTGTGTATTTAGAATTGCCCTTGTTCACCCAATGGTTTACTTCAATGTAATTGATATTGAGAGGTATGTTCTTGTCAAATTTCTTAGTTGTAGCTCTATGATTTGTGTTCCTTTTCTGTTTTAACTTTATTATTTGTTTAATTTAGGAGGATAAGATTCTCTCTCTGCATCCTTCTTCTTCCCCTTTTCCACTTTTAATGATGGTCTTGCGATTGAGGACGTGCCTGTCTGCAGAAGCTGAATGCTAATGATGGACCCTCAAGCTTTCAGTCTACATATCTGGTCCTTGTGATGGTTTTCTTTTAAGGTAGAATAATTTTTGATTAACTGAATAAGTTCTTCATCAGTTTTATCTTCAGGGTTCATTCTTAGTCATTCTTTCTGGCATGCCTTTCAAATATATGTACTACAGAATATCTGAGACCATTATAGGGCTAGTGAATACGAAGATATTGTTTATAATCGATTTAGTTTTGTACCTTTACAAATGTCAGATATCAATTCAAGGTTGTCTGCAAGGGCCCAATTCATAGGTTGCTGAACAACTTGGCCACTAGTTTTGAGTCTTTACATCCAGAGAAGACTAATAACTGGACCAAGAATGGGAAAAGGAGTAGATCTCAAGTGGTTCCATCCTACATAATGAATATTAGCTACCCTCCGTCTTTCTATGATTTAACCTTTGAACCATCAAAAACACATGTTGAATTTAAGGTAATATTCAGTCTAATTATGAACTGTGATTTAATATGCATTTCTATTTGTTAAAACATTTTGTTTTAATGGAGGAACCTTAGCATCCAGTTCAAAATCATGTTTATTCAAAACATTTGAGAACTAATTTAAACTTTTTCATGATCTCAGAACATACTGGGGTTGCATGTTTCTATTGCATAGAAGCATGGACAAAATACTTGATACTGCTTTCCATGATAGTAGATGTTATATTTGGCCCTTGTACGCCATTTTGTTTCGTGACCAGTCCCTTTTGTTATGGAACCTTCTACTTTGGTCATACTATGTTTCATTTGATATCATTCCTTTAGTTAAGGGATTCTGTAATATTTATATAATCCCTTTTTTTAAGGGATCACATCTTAGGATTAATATATTTCTTTCTTAAGTGTTTCCTACTTTAGAGAGATAATTTGTATATAAAGATGTAATCTGTCCTATTGAAAATAATATGAAAATACAAAGAATTACTCTGATTTCTACATGGTATCAAATTAGGTTACGGCTTCTTTCCAGCATAGACGATGTCCACAACTTCTTCTTCTACTCCGGAGATCACTTTGAATCCATAAAATTTTTCTGGTTCTGTTGCTCAATCAGAAGGTAATATGGTCATGAAAGAACCAGAAGGTAAACCTCATGCTACAGTTTTTTTCTCCTCCCAGTTGACCCATAATTGGATCATCGATTCTGGTGCTACAAATCATATAACTAGTAATAAAGATTTGTTTTGCAATTTTTTTCCAAACTTTGGTAAAGCTGTCAAAACGGCTGATAGTTCCTTGTGCAAAATAGAAGGATATGACACTGTTATTTTCAATGATCAGATTGTACTTAAAAATGTCCTTTTCGTACCAAATCTGGCTTGCAATCTTGTTTCCGTTAGTAAATTTTCCACCTTGTACTACTCTGCAATTTTTAATGATATTGATTGTACTTTGCAGGCACTGAACTCGAAGAAGATGATTGGTAAGGCTAGCTTGCAGAATGATCTTTATATTCTTCCTGCCTCTACTAAAATCGAAATCCTGAAATCTTTCACCGTTTTAGAAAAAGTTGATAATGTTATGTTATGACACTCGTTTAGGCCATCCTAGTTTCCACTATCTTGTAAAAGTTTTTTCTGCTTTATTTATTCATAAAATGCCAAATTCTTTTTCTTGCAAAGCTTGCTCTCTTGCCAAACATACTAAATCAACTTATTCTCCTTCTATATACAAGCCTTCTCACCTTTTTGCTTTGATCCACAGTGATATTTAGGGCCCTTCTTGGGTGAAGAATGCTGATAATTGTAAGTGGTTTATCACTTTCATTGATGTTCACAGTAGGATAACTTGGACTTATTTGCTAAAAGATAAATATGAAATTGCTGGTGTTTTTACCCAATTTTATAACATGGTTCTCACTCAATTTGGTTCTAAAATTCAGCTCTTTAAATCTGATAATGGCAGTGATTTTTTTGCTAAGTCTTTGGGTGCGTTTTTCAGGGAAAAGGGCATAGTTTAGATTAGTTCTTGTGTTGATACCCCACAACAAAACGACATTGCCGAAAGAAAAAATATACACCTTCTTGAAGTTACTCGTTCTCTTCTATTTACCACTAATGTTCCAAAATATTTGTGGGGGAAGCCTTATTAACTACCACATATTTAATCAATCGAATGCATAGTAAGATTTTACAATTTCAAACACCTCAATTTATATTTTTGCAATACTTTCCCCATTTTAAACCTGTCTCCTTCATTCTTCCACTTAAAATATTTGGTTGTACTGTTTTTATCCAAAACAGTGCTCCTAATAAGTCTAAGTTAGATCCTAAATCATTAAAGTGTCTACTGGTTGGGTATTCTTCACTTAAGAAGGGTTATAAATGCTATTATCCTCATTCTAAACTATTTTTTACCACTATGGATGTAACATTTTATGTGCAGGATCCCTATTTCACTCAGGCTGAAATTCATGGGGAGACATAGAAGGATTTTCAGTCACATCAGATATCTCCTCCTACTTTTTATTCTCAACCTTCAGAATTGCCACCAATTTTGTCTTTACCTACAGACTTGTCACCTGTAACTACTCCCATTGATTCATCTATGGTACCTATCACTCCTTCACCCACACCTACTTTAAACACCCTTCCTGAAAACACACCTACTCCTATTCAAAATCTTCCACAAACATCACCAATCAAACAACTTCGTGTCTATACAAGGAAAATAACACATATTCCTGAGGCTGTTTTGCAATCTGATGCTTGTCGAGAATTGGATTTGGGTCCAGCTGCCGAAATAGAAGAAGAAATCAGTAAGTCCACTTCCCCTACTCTAGATGACTTCCCTATTGCTATTAGAAAAGGGGTTAGACAGTGCACCAAGCATCCTATTGAAAAATTTGTTTGTTATAATTCACTGATGCCGTCTTTTCAAGAATTTACATCAAACTTAGATAAAGAACATGTTCCCACAAGCATAGCTGAAGCTCTAAAGGATTCAAAATGGAGAAGGACTGTTGAAGAAGAAATTTGTGCACTAGGGAAAAATGCTACTTGGACCGTTACGGACCTTCCTCAAGGAAAAAAGGTTGTTGGCTGTAAATGGATCTTTGCTGTAAAGTATAACTCCAATGGTAGTATTCAACGATGCAAAGCTAAACTAGTGGCCAAAGGCTTTACGCAAACATATGGGATAGATTTTACAGAAACTTTTGCACCTGTGGAGAAACTGAATATTGTTCGAGTACTCCTAAATTTTGCTGTAAATTGTGATTGGAAATTAAAACAACTTGATGTAAAAAATGCTTTTCTTAATGGCAAACTAGAAGAAGAAGTCTATATGAAGTTGTCACCTGGCTTAAAGTCTGTTGAAGGAAGTAACAAGGTGTGCAAGCTCAACAAGTCTCTATACGGATTAAAACAATCACCCAGAGCTTGGTTCGAGTGGTTCACTAAAGTCATTATGAAAAACGGCTGCAAGCAGTCCCTCGCCGATCATACTCTTTTCATCAAGGTAATTTCTAAAAATAAGAAAGTTATCCTTATTGTGTACGCGGATGACATAATTCTTACCGGAGTTGATGAAGAAGAGATTTGCAATTTGAAGAAGTTGTTAAATGAGGAATTCAAAACCAAGGACTTGGGAAAGCTAAGGTATTTCATAGGAATGGAGGTGATAAGGTCAAAAGAAAGACTTGTAATCAACTAAAGAAAATATGTACTTGATTTACTCAAAGAAACTGGTTTTCTTGGTTGTAAGCCGATTGATACACCAATGGAGGCAATCTTGAAATTTAGCAAAGAAGATGGCTCCTTAGTAGACAAAGAGAAATTTCCAAGATTAGTTGGGAAATTAATTTATTTATCCTTGACAAGGCCAGATATAGCCTTTCCCGTAAATGTGATAAGTCAACACATGATTAATCCTACTGAAGAGCATATGACATCAACAAATAGAATTCTCAAGTAGTTGAAGAAAACTCCAGGACACGACTTAATGTTTAAGAAGACACAAGACAAAACTGTTAAAATTTTTACATACTCTAGTTGGGTCGAAGATCTTACTGAAAGGAGATCCACTAGTGGCTACTACATATTTGTTTGGGGTAACCTTACAACTTGGAGAAGTAAGAAACAATCTGTCGTTTCAAGAAGTAGTGCTGAAGCTGAATTTAGAGCACTAGCATTAGGAATATGCGAAGGAATTTGGCTACTTAAACTACTGAAAGAACTTGGCACTAATCAAGAGGATCACTTTGAAGTCTTGTGTGAAAATCAATCTGCTATTCAAATTGTCAAAAACCCAGTTCAACATGATCGTACAAAGCATGTTGAGATTGATAGGCATTTTATAGTTGATCAAGTTAACAAAAAGACAATCACACTTTCATACATTCCGTTAGAAGAATAAGTTGCAGACATTCTCACTAAGGCTTTGCCAAATCCTGTTTTCAATAAATTCCTATTTAAGCTGGGATTATACATGTATATTCTCCAGCTTGAGGGGGGAGTATAGGAATTATAGAGATATGATTTGATATCATTCATTTACTTAAGGGATTCTGTACATATATTTATACAATCCCTTATTTTAAGGGATCACATCCTAGGATTAGTATCTTTCATTTCTTAAGTATTTCCTACTTTAGAGAGATAATTTGTATATAAAAGATGTAATCTGTCCTATTGAAAATAATATGAAAATACAGAGAATTACTCTGATTTCTACAATATATATTAATTTTAAAAATTAGAAGCTCTATCTTTTTCTTTCCTACTTTCTCTCTCCTATCTATTAACTTTCTTGCCGAGCCTGACTTGTTACTGGCTGGATTTGGCCAGAGGTTTGAATAGTAGTGGAACTGGCATGTTTCAAGCCTATTCCAAGCTGCCAACGTTGGCTCCGGCCTCCTTTGCCTAGTGATTGGATGGATTTGGCCTGAAAGTTAGTAAATCAGGGGGAGAAAGAAAAGAAGAGAAAAAGTACTAGATTTTTTGTGTTTTCAAATGTTGACCCTTGAGTGAATTTTCTTAAAATTACAGTAGCCAAATAGACATCATCCCTTCAATAGAGTGTTTGATGAGGACTATTCACTTTATTACCCTTTGGTATACTCTATAATTAGAAAAGAATGAAGAATAATATGTCTTATTTCTTGAATAAGTACAAGGCTCCTTTTATACAGAGAGAAATTATAACAAAAAGGAAATTAATTAGAGCCAATATTTGACAGCTTCTACTTTCCTACTTTTCTTGATTTACATCTTTACTTTCTACATTTACATCAATCCTAGAATATCTCACAGATTATGACTAAATCAAGGCTTTCAATGACCAAATATCCAACACTCCCCCTCAAGCTGGTTTAAAGATATCTTCCATAGCCAGCTTGCTAGTTAGCTTACCAAATTGCTTATTGTGTAGTCCCTTCGTTAGTACAACAGCTAATTGTTCATTAGTTGGAAGGTATGTCATGCATATTATTCCCGCATTGACTTTCTCCTTAATGAAATGTTTATCCACTTCTATATGTTTCGTGCGATCATGAAGAATTGGATTATGAGCGATAGCAATAGCAGCTTTGTTGTCACAATAGACCTTCATTGGAGTCGAGTAAGAAAACTTTAATTCTTCAAGAATCCTTTTTATCCACATCGCCTTGCAGATTCCATGGGCCACGACTCTGAATTCTGCTTCAGCACTACTTTTAGCTACCATATTTTGTTTTTTACTCCGCATTTAACTAGGTTTCCTCCAACAAAGGAATAGTATCCAGACGTTGATCTTCTGTCTGTAACACTTCCTACCCAATCTGCGTTTGTGTAGACTTCAACTTGAAGATGTTCATGTTTCTTGAACAATAAGCCTCTTCCTGGAGTTCCTTTCAAATATCTTAAGATCCTATAGACGGCCTCAAAATGCTCCGCCCATGGTGAGTGCATGAATTAACTTACCATGCTAACTGCAAAAGCAATATCAGGCCGTGTATGAGACAAGTAAATCAACCTCCCTACAAGTCTCTGATATTGTTCCCTGTCCTTTACTTCTTCAACCTTAGCAGCTTGTAACTTCAAGTTTGGCTCAACCGGAGTTTCAACCATCTTACAACCAAGTAGACCTGTATCTCCAAGGAGATCAAGAACATATTTTCTCTGATTGACAAATATGCCTTCCTTAGATCTTGCAAATTCCATTCCAAGGAAATACTTAAGAGCTCCCGGGTCCTTAATTTGGAAATCCTTTGCTAGTCTTTTCTTCAAAATATATAATTATGTTTCATCATCACCAGTGAGTATAATATCATCAACATAAACAATCAAAATTGCAACTTTACCATCTTTTGAATGTTTATAAAATACTGTGTGATCAGCTTGACTCTGCAAGAAGCCATAACTGATAACTGTCTTTCCAAAGCGGTCAAACCAAGGTCTTGGTGACTGTTTGAGTCCATATAGCGACTTATGTAATCTGCATACTTTGTTACTGCCAAGTTTCTTCTCAAATCCTGGCGGTAGGCTCATATACACCTCTTCCAGATCACCATTGAGAAATGCATTTTTAACGTCAAGTTGATGTAGAGGCCAATCGGAGTTCACTGCAAGAGATAACAACACTCTAATAGAATTTATTTTAGCAGCAGCAAAAGTCTCTTGGTAGTCAATCCCATATGTCTTAGTAAAGCCTTTAGCCACCAATCTCGCCTTGTATCTCTCAACGCTTCCATCAGCTTTACTTTTTATTGTAAACACCCATTTACACCCGACTATTTTCTTTCCTTTGGGTAGATCGACAATCTCTCATGTACCACTTCTCCTTAGAGTATTCATCTCCTCCATGACTGCTAATTTCCAATTCGGATCATCCAATGCTTCCTGTATATTCCTTGGAACAAACAAATGTGAAATCCTATATGTGAAAGCTTTATGGTTTTTTGATAGTCTGTGATAGGAAAGATATTTTGCAATGGGATGTTGAGTGCAATTTCGGACACCTTTCCTAAGTGCTATAGGGACATCAAGATCAGGAATACTAGGCGAATTGTTGGACAAAGTGGAGGAAATCAAATGTGTAGTAGGGATAGGATTACCTGAAGTTTCGACAGCAGAATTCAGATCTTCAGATTGGTTTCGTGCAGGGTTGATATTTGAGTCTTTATTTCTCAGATGAAATCTCTTCCTAGTATAAAACTGAAGCTCAGAATTCAAATCACGTTGACTAATTTGTAGTACTTCTCCCCCTGAACGAGAATCTCCTTCATTAGGCACCAACAAACCTAGTTCTCCTTGGCAATCATTATTAGAAACACTTGAATTTAGATTTTCAAAGCGATCACTCTTAGAAATACGTGGTTTCTGTGTAGGATAAATGACATTGGGTAGTGGGATAAAAATGTCCCAAAAATTGTCTTCTACATCACTTGTCTCCCCCTGAAGAGAATTTTTTGTGAAATAAAATTTTGTTTCCAAAAACGACACTCCATACTCACAGAATTTTTTTTGTTTGAGGATCAAAACACTTATACCCATTTTTATTTGAAGAATACCCCAAAAAACACATTTAATAGCACGCGGGTCAAGTTTTGAAAGAAATTGGCATGGAACATGAACGTAGACAGTACATCCAAAAACTTTGATAGGTAAATAAGAAAACAACCTTGTTCCAGGAAAAGATGATTTTAGGCAATCGAGTGGTGTTTTGTATGTTAACACCTTAGTAGGCATCCTATTGATCAAGTAAGCGGCTGTTAAAACTGCTTTACCCCATAAGTATTTGGGAACATGAATGTAAAACATTATGACACGTGCTACTTCAATTAAATGTTTATTTTTTCGTTCTGCAATGCCATTTTTTTGAGGGGTAACCCGACATGTGGAGTGATGAAAAATCCCTTTCTCTTTCAAAAAATCACCCAAGTTCTCACTAAAATATTCTGTTCCATTGTCAGAATGTAAAATACTAATCTTGGTTTGAAATTGGTTTTCAATCAAGTGTAAATTTTTTTTGAATAAATCTTTCACGTCAGACTTTTTATTCATTAGATAAATTCAACATAACCGTGTGTGGTCATCAATAAAAGTAACAAACCACCTTTCTGTTATGATAGCAGGAAAATTAGGGTTTGATCGTGGTGATTTGGGGGAAATTTCGAAGAGAAGATTGGGGCAGGAAAATTAGGGTTTGATCGTGGTGATTTGGGGGAAATTTCGAAGAGAAGATTGGGATGCAACAGCAAAAATTGGGGGAAGAATCGAATGAATTTAGGGATTGCACAGGGGGCTAGGGATTGATGCCTATCTGAAGAAATGGGGAATCGAAGTGAATATTAGGGATGCGGCTGAAGGTATATGCGGGAGGGTGTTAGTGGGTTTATTATGGTAACCCAATTTTAATTACGAGTGGGCTTATAAGTTGGGCTTGAGTCTGTTAGAACAATATTAGGAGAGAAGTGGGAATGGTGAGTCAGCTTTGGGCGGTTATTTTGTTAGAGATGCTGTTTTGACAGCTGGTACTGTATATATATAATTTGTACTGATCCTTTAAAGGATTATCTTATGAATGAAAGCACATTTTCTGTATCTAAGTCTCTATTTCTGAAATCCCTAAATTTCTTCTATATTCTCATCCTAAATCATAACAAATTGGTAATCAGAGCTGAGTTTTGTGATCCAAAATCAAAGACTTCACGCTGGGAAGGACAAGGAAGATGCAGAAAACTAGAACCAGTGAAGTACCAGAATAGAACATGGAGGTGAAAGAGGAGTCTTTGCCATCATGGTGTACTGAACTGAAAGCTAAGTTGGAAGGAAGGATTCAAACATTAGAAGAAGGAATGACTGAGAACAGAGGGTATTTACAGAGGATCCTACAGCTGGTCAATCAAGCAGCTGAGGAGAAAGATTCACCTCAGTCAGTGAAGAATCAAACAACATCAGCTGAGAAACAGGACAAAAATAGAGGTAAACAACCATGCTTGATTACGGTTCTTAATGAGCATGAGAAGTATACTTTTCAACCTAATGAACTAGGGATATTAGCTTCTAAACCTGTGGGGTTTACTGGTCATCAAACTGTTAATCCAAAGTTGCAAGAAGAAAATCAGATAGGTAGTTCTAGTGAGATTAAAGGGGGAGGAGATGAACATGTGGACACTAGAAACTATTTTAAAAATCCTTTTTGGAACACAAGTTCTGTGCTACCTAGACCAAAATTAGAGCTACCAATGTTTGATGGTAACAATCCTAGGGGTTGGATTAGGAAATGTCAGAAAATTTTTAATTTGTTTGGAATATCAGAGTAGCAGAAACTGGAAATAGTTGCTATGCATTTAGTGGGGAAGGCTGAAACCTGTTTTGATAGGTATATTATGCAGAAGTATAGAGTGACATGGCATGAATTTGAGGCTGACTTGTGTCACAGATTTTGTGATAGAAATTATTATGATATTAGTTGCAAAGATCACTCAACTAGGTGAAAGATACCATAATTCAAACTTTTGGTAAACCTTGAATTTGATGCCTATAGAACAAAGGATAACTTATATGCTGATTTGGACGAACAAAATAATAATATTAACGTAAGAAACTTTGCCAGTATGATTAACTCTAATTATTGTTCTCTTTTGCAGCATGCTGCAGATGAAAGAATAAAACTAGAAGAACTTCGTCACATGGTAAAAACATTTTCAAGTTCAAATTTGTGGAAGTAGAGATTTTTCGCTACTGATTTGACATGTTGAAAACCAGGTCTTATCTGGTGAAGGGAAGTCAGTCACCTATTTGGCTACAGAGAAAGAGATGGTATACCTAGTTTGATGTTTGAAGCTTTACCCTGGACATTGCTAAAGATGGTTCTTTTTTGTGATTCTAGGTTTAACTTATTAGTTGTTAAATAACAGATCCTGCCAGAGATGGGATATCAGTTACTGCACAATTATTCTGAGCAAATAAGACAGTGGGGCTGGATCTGCAATTTTCACACCCAAGAATCAAGATCCTTCAAGAAGTAATTTGTTTTTTTCCCTTTTTTTTCTTGAAAATATGCACGTGTAGTTCTCTGTGGGATAAATAATTCTGGATGTGGATTTAGTGGAGAAAACATTGTTCAAAGATGCATGGCTCTTAGCTATAAAGATGTTTAACAGGTGTTTCACCATTATGCAAATAATCCTTAATGTTCTTTCATTGCTTCTGATTCATTGATATTGTCCTTATTATGATTCCTGACTTTGCCTCTTAAATTTAATTACTATGCAGGAATTTAGACCTTATTCATCCTAAGCCGGCTGTTGTCAAACTTCTTGCAGTTAAGCTCCATTACACTTCTGTTTATATTTGATGGAGGCTAAACAACAACAAACCTTACATCTTTTGCATGACCTTTACTTCTTTTTTTGTAAGTCCAATGAGGTTGGGCCGAAATTATTGTTTTTATCATATTTTGATGGAAAAGTTGGACGGTCACCCCCGCAAATATTTCCCTTGTCCTTGTTTTTTATCATGCAAATTCAAGTTTGCCTTTTCTGTTCTGTTAAACTATGATGTCAATGAAGTTTTATATGGATAATATGCACAGGTACCTTGCATTTTAGGTGTTAATTTATCTGATGTTGATCTCTTGGAATTTCTTCACCAGGTAATACATGGTTTGTTGCTTATTAGAACATTTACACCCTACTACTCCTTTCCCCTTGACTTGTTGGTAAAGGTATTTAATTTCTAACACTTAATTTATATTTATGATACGTAGCTTGCTGATACGGATGGATCATCAACAATGCCTCCATCAGTTAGTCGCATTCTTAATTGCAAAGCATGCCGAGGTATATGCCTGATCTCGCTAAGAAATGGCAAGTGTGGGAATCAAATTCAATCATATACGTGGGAGGGATTTTTATTCTTTATAATACATGATTAGAGTGGTCTACGAAATAATTATCTGAGCAAATGCCTCTATATGCACGAAAGTTGGGTCAAGTGAGACTTCTATAGTGTAGCTGTAGAGTTATCTATGTATTTTTTGGGTTTTATGTCTATTTAGAACTCCGACTCTTAGCTATTTGCATAGCCTTCATTAATATGCTATTGATATCGTGTCCATCATTACAAGTTGGCTAACTTCGAGTAACTTCCTGTCGTGCTTTCATCAATAAGGTGCTATTATGTTCGGAGACTCTTTACTTCCTTCAGAATGTTCCTTAATAGTTGAAGAGCTAAAGCAGACCTCATTGTGCTTCCAAGTGAGTTAATCATGCACCACAGCAAGTGTTTTTCTCTCCAGTTTGATCACTGACATTTAGTGCATTCATTTGTACATGTGAGAGAAATCCTCCTGTTTCCTTTATAAATGTGAAAACGATATCATGCAGTGTGCTCATGGGCGGCCAACCACAGCCCCGCTAGTGAATTTGGAGGCATTGCATAATCAAATAGCTAAGATGCAAGTGAGTGTGACAAACCGAGGGAGTTATGGCATGGGCTATATCGACAAAGAGTCGGCCTTGAGCGAGCCAGCTTGCGGTTAAGAGCAGCCAATGGAATAACAAACTCACGTGCTAAGCTGAGTTGTTTAGGCAATTGGGTTGTTGGATTGATTTTGGTAACCTGATTTCTAAAGCCTGCGAGAAGTTGGCGTCAATGAGAAGTCAAATTTGGCTTTCAGGGCACGGAAGCATTATCCAAGATGGGCAATTGACATTCTTTTACGATCATTCTCTCGTTCGGTCTTTTTTTAAAATAATTGTAATGTGCTATAACTCTTTTTCGTTCTTTCTTCACCCCCATGGATTCTAAACACAATAGGGTCATTGTAAGTAAAAAGAAGAGAAAATAACTTCAGTGACTGAAAATACCTTGTAATATATGATTTTAACCAATTTTTTTGAATTTACGAAAATAACCAACAAATTCGTAACGCGATTTCAAATTCGCAGCATGGATTCTAATTTCGCAACATGGATTCTAATTTCGCAACATAATTTCCAAATTCGTAACTCAGTTTTAAAATTCGGAACTCAAATTTCTTTTTCGCAACACATAAGTCAAATTCGTAAAGCGCGTTTATTTTCGTAACGTGAATTTTATTTTCAAATTCTAAACACGAATATTAATTTCACAACACAAATATAAACGTCATATTCCGTAAATCGCAACTCATAACCTAAAACTCTAAATCGCAAATCAGTCTCATCTCCATCTCTCACTCTCTATGGTGACATCCGTCCCCATCTCTGGCGATATCTGTCCCCATATCCGGCGACCCCCCTCTATCTCCATCTCTCAGAGCCACCTTCTCACAACCATTCACGACCACAAATAGAAAATCAACCACTGAGGGTTAGTTTTTTTAATTATTTTTAATTTGAAATTTTTGTATTATTATTATATTTTTCATATTTAAATTGATGATAAATTTACTCGTAATTTCAATATATTGATTAACCATTTCACTTAGATTGTTTAGTAAATTCATTCGGTTGTTGCCAGTACTGCTAAACTGTTTAGTCTTTAACCCTGTGAAGTTTGCATTTGTTTTTGGTTGAAGTAATGCAATTCATTCAAGTTTCAATTTGCAGAAGAAGAGTAGTTTTTGAAACTTAAATTCGCAACACGAAAATCGCAACGCGATTTTAGTTTTCGCGTTGCGAATTTTGTGTTGCGAATTTCATTTTCGAGTTGCGATTTTCATGTTGCGAATTTAAGTTTCAAGAATAAACTACTCTTCTGCAAATTAAAACTTGAATGAATTGCATTACTTCAACAAAAAAACAAAGACAAATACGAACTTCACGGTGTTGCGAATTTAAGTTTCAAGAATAAACTACTACTCTTCTAGAATGTTGTCCTTGGACCTGCACTAAACCTATATGTTGTCCTTTTTAAATGTTTATACTTACTTCTGGAATGTTATCTGATGCATTTTGAGAACTATGATAGAATAATGACTTGGGTGAATATCGGGCTAGTTTGAAACATATTTGAATATATTTTCCCTGTTTAATACATGTCTGTTTATTGTGTATAATTTGTAGTTTTTGGTATATTATTAGTATATCTAACTTGGTATATTTATTGTTTTTGTTAGGAATTTTTTTTGGTTGCATTGACTTTAAGGAATAAATTAAGTCTAGCCACTACAATTGTGTCGACACTCACACCTGTCCAAAGAAATTTGTTTGAGAATACTTGTTTCGGGCCATGGCTGAAAATACAATATCCAGATGGAGATGCTATGTTGACTCATTTGTTTCTTCAGACCATGACTAACGATCTACCCGAGGGGATACAACGTGGTGATGAGGAGATATAGTTTCATTTTCCACCGGCATATACTCGTTTTGGGCAGGAGGAGTTTTGTTTAGTCATTGGTCTAAGTTTCGGACGACACGATGAATTAGGTCCATACACTAGTCATATTGCCCACCCATCATGGTTATTTCGGGTTTTCCTGAGCTGGCAAAGGTGAAGGCCACTTTACACGTCACCGATTTAAGAAGATTACTTCTTAAAGATGGTTTTACTCGGATGGATGACCTTGATGTTGTCTGAGTATGCCTTTTGTTACTTTTGTATGCCGTCTTTTTAGCTAAATAGGGCATAACATATTCTCAGGATTTTATTATATGGTAGAGGATCTGATGCATGGAACGTGTTTCGTGGGGTTCATATATGGAAAGCTACCTGGAAAAAATTTCGTATGCCTTTGAGGACCGTCGTAGTTTGCGTGGGCATGGTTCCAAATATACTTTGGCATGCTTTATTTGGGCCTTTAAGGTAAGAATTTCTATATAATGTTTCCAAAATTAATTATTTAACAATTACTAAAATTAATGTTTGTGTATTATATTGTTTGTAGATTTGGATATTTGAGGCATTTCCCAGCATGCATACTTATGCCATCAAGAATTCAAATGAATTCTTAGGGCTATTACTTGGAGGAGATCCGGTTGTTGGATTGGGAAGATTTACTACCATATACGACGATGAATGATGTAAGTTAACCCAAATACTACCATATATAACAAGTTTTACTAGTAGACGTTTGACTTGTTTGGGCTTTTATATTGTTAGGAGGCAAACTATCCATTACAGACATTGACACCCACAGAGGCTGAGCTTGCTACTGATTGGTGGCAAGCTAGTAGGCGTTTTTTTGATGGGACAGATTATGAGCACCCCCCACTTCGACACCGAGATTCATCACCTCATCGAGCCTCTTCTCCACTTCGACACCGAGATCCATCACCTGATCGAGCCGATTCTACACCTCAATACTGAGAGCCATCACCTGATCGAGCCAATTCTACACCTCGACACCGAGAGCCATTACCTATTTCATCACATCATCGAGCCTCTTCTCCACTAACACCTCATGATAGGTGACCGGCAAAGATGCCACGATATTTATCTCCCCGTTCTTCACCTCCACATGATGAGTTAGGTGCTTTACATGATGAGGTCGGTTCTTTAAGTGATGATAATGATGCGTGGGTGAGGTATCTGCTTTAACGTGGTGAGTAGCTGCTCTACGTGAGATTGTTCATCGTTGCATAATGAGGTTCATACTCTACGCAATGAGGTAAGTTTGTTTAATTTTATAAGAAATACTATACTAAAAATGAAAATAACATTTTTTCGGTATTATTTATTTATTTATTGATTTATGTATTAATTTATTTTTAGCGGCCCGATAAGGTAGGTGTTTTATGTCGGGTTTTTCTTGCACTACGGGGTTCACGCATCAGACGTCGTGGACGTGTCATTACGTATCCTTTCACCTCAATAGTTCCAATACTACGTAAGAAGAAGCCCGATCCACATACATTGTTCGGATTCACCTGTCATGTTCAAGAGCCATCCCATCGTTCAAGAGGCCCCTCCCATCGTTCAGGATACACCTCCCACCGTTCAAGATCCATATGGCATTCGACATATTGGTAAACCCCCTCTTGTGCCTGGTATGATGGATCAGAGTAGGTTTTCGTATCAGCTACTGGCAAGTATCATTCCTCAGCATGAGATATGCACACTACCAAACATAATTATGGATAATATCGTTTGGGCTAAGACCGTATTTGATTTTTATCTACATGAGCGGAGCCAGGGGTGCTACACTGACATATGCAAAATCGACAATACACATTTGTTTCTTGAGCGGTCTTGGTGGGGTGCTTTTATTAGGGGTTGAAGAGAATGACTATATCGAATCGTTGGTAAGTATTATAATCTTTTTATATTGATTTTGATTATTTTTTAAAATTTATTAAATTCACTAATATATGTATTTTTTTATAAAACAACATATTGATGCATGGGTGTCATGTCTTCTGATTCTAAGGAAATTGAAAAAAATAAAAAAGACGCGATGAACTATTATGCATTCGTCTTTTCACGTAGCTCACTTTCAGGATCAGAGAGACGCTTCATATGCGTTGGGTAATGACAAAGCTATCCTTTATCCTGCGTGGTGGGAGGTCGATAAGCTTAGTATTTATATTTGCAAATTTAAAGGTGTTCATAAAAATTTATTTGATGTGCGCAATTGAAGTATTATTTATATTATGCAAGTGTTTATCCCTGTTATGGAACATCGTCATTGGATTCTCGTCGAGCTTCAGCTCCCATCCCTGACAGCATGCTGAATTACATACCATTGTCTAATTTGAAAGATATTATTTGTAGGGGATGGAGCGATCTTTTGGCTAAATACTTGGATGCGATTGCTTATTGGACTAATTCAAGAAACAAGAAGCCAAATAATTTAAAAGTTACAATGATGAGAGATGAGACAGCGCCACAACAAACGTCGGGAACCAGAGGGGATTGTGGTCCTCTTGTATGCATGTGCTTGGAACGTATGACGAGAGGAGGTAAACAGTTTCTACCTCCGACAGATAGAGATAGAGGTGCAGTAGGGTTGTGGTTTCGGCATTTTATGGCTAGAGAGATATATGCGAGACGTTGCCTACATGCATCCAGGTGCTGAAAGTGTGCATAAACAACCATTTGTTATTGGTAAGTTTGACCAATGGTTATTAACCATTTACTCTTTGTTTTAGATGAAATATTGATCAAAAGTAGTTTGAAAATGTTTGGTTAAGTACCTAGAATTCAATAATTTCAACTCATATTTGTTGGTTTTGGATGTGTAGAAAATCTCATGGCTATAACGTTTCTGCATGTTAATCCTTCCAGATGTTCTAATTTCTGACCAATATCTGTAAGCTCCCTATTGTTAGGAGCATTTGGATGTACTGTCTGGGGCAAATTGATGTATCAATATGCTATAAAGTGTAAATAAAAATTGTTTTTTTGTTTAATTAATTTGTTGTTTAATTTCAATCTGCATTATGTTGAAGGCAATAAAGACCTGTAGAAGGCACACTACCTTTAAGAAAATCGAATTCGCAACGCGAAAATAAAATTCGTGTTGCGATTTTCATGTTGCGAATTTTATTTTCGCATTGTGAATCGGAGAAGTTCACAATAACCATATTTTTTTCTAGTTTCAATTCAAGGCAAACACCTTCAAAAAGATAACACACAACAATCTGATAAGTGATAACAACTGAACATATCATAGCAATATTCAAACTCAAGTCACTAATGCATGTCTAATTGAAAATGTATGCATTCACACATAAAATACACATAATACAACGTTTGCATTTAAAAATCACCTAAGTTAATAGTCCCAAAAGGTCAAGGCGGTTGTGATTGGGATTTTGATTTTGATTGCGATTTTGATTTCCTTTTGCTTGGCACCATATGAGCTTTGGAGTTTGATGAGGATCCATATGTTGGTAGAGGAAAAGATGATTGTGATGGCACTGGTGATCCATAGGTTAACTTGTATGACCACTTTCCTTGCACCGACTACATGTCGATATCTTCTTCTCTTCACCCTTAGACGATATACGATCGTGATTTTTTGGTCGGCCAGGTAGCCTTCTGTCAATGACTGGTGGCAAAACTGTTTGTAAGTCATCTGGTATGTCCCACTCAGAAGGATGTGGAATAGGGTAGACAATCTCGGCATAAGTCTGTCGATATACTTCTGTAGTGTAGCAATCCATAGCATATGCGCTTGAATCATCTTGGTTTAGATGAAGAGTAACTTTTATAACATGGTCACACGGATAACCAGATGTTTGCCATTTCATACAACTACATGTCTTTGCATTTAGATCGACAAGCCCATTTAAGTTATTATCCAAGACTTCAAACAAAGTGTTTGAACATGGTTCAACTCCATGACGTTGACTTCACAACACGTTTTGTTATCTTTTTTCAAGTCCATGGTCTAACACGACGTTCCAATGTTCCTGTAAATTTAAATAAATAATACTTAGTAAAATCTATTAAATATGATAAGTTACGAATTTCAAGAAATAATACCTGCATGGTTTCTTTTCTTATAGTACCACTGTTGAATAGAGGCTCGAAAAAACTATTAACATAGTAATGGGTAATTTTTGGGAATGACGACTTAGTGCGTTGATTGATTCTGCACTATTAGACATCATGAAGTCATATCTTGCTCCAAGTTAATGTACTCTTGACCATCTTTCAAACCCGACATCTTCTAGTGTTTGAGCATATTGAGGCAAAACACGTCTTAATCAATTTATATGCTTATTAAAATCCACTTCACGATAAGCTTTTACAGTCTTCTAGTATGTCCATTTGTGATTTTTTATACCAGCAGACCTTGATTTTATATTTCTGTACAAATGAACACCACAAAGTCCATGAAAACCATCTGGGAAACACCTTCTAATAGCGTTATCAATTGAGTTTTCCCTATCGGATATGATTGTCAGATTTCTAATAGGATATATGTAATCCCTAAGATTCCCTATAAACCATGTCCATGAATAAGAGGTTTCAGATTTGCCAACCCCGTAAGCTATTGGCAGTATCTCATTGTTAGCATCCATGGCTACTGCTAATAAGTTTACTCCAAGGTATCGACCTTTCAAATGTGCTCCGTCAACTATAATAACTGGGCGCATGCAAGTAATAAATGGACGAATCTACAAAATAATATACACAAGAAATATAATCATTTAAATGTGAAATGCATGTAACTAACAAAAATGAGTCAACAAAATTATATTGATTTACTAACCGCAACACCAATGGCTATAAACAACAACTCAAAACGTCCATCTCTATCTGTTTTGATATGAGTTACTGACCCAAGATTGTTTAGCTTTAAATTGTGACAATAAGCCGACAGTTGGGCAAACGATGCTTCTGGCAACCCCCTCAACAATTCCAAGGCATAACATTTGGCTATCCAAGCTTGAGAATATGAGATACTAATCTTGAACCGAGCATTCATGTCAATCATAATTTCATGTCCTCGATATACCCTGCCATTCAAAAACATTAACTCAGCCAGAAAACCACCCAACACATTTTTGTTTACCTGTCTATGGTGAGGAAAAACTTGGGTTCTTGAACATGGATGTTTATCAATAAAATTCCTAACTTGAAACATTTCACAATCTTTTATCCTCTTTGCAATCATACGCCACGTACAGTTTTTGTCAATCCTACACTTTGTTTCGAAACAATCTTTGCTTGATTTGTTAACTTTTAGTTGATAGTCATCTTCCACACATTTCGTATACAAAGCTATCTTCAAGTCTTCCTTTGTATCAAAACAATCATCTTTCTTGATACAAATAACTTTTGTGTAACAATCAACTGCTATCTTTACCAACTCTTCTTCTGGTATCTGAAGTAATTCTGGCATATTCTAGTTATACTCCCGTGGCATTTTCTTCTTTTTCTTTTCTTCGGGGACTTCTTCTTATTCTTTTTCTTCTTTAGGGTTATATGAATTACAGAATGGATGTTCAACATGTTCATTCACAGTCGTAAATTCCTCCTCATTATCATCAACAATATCTTCCTCGGCAGCGGTTGTTTCATCATCAAAATTTGGGTATTGGCCAATTTCAAAATCATTACATGCATGGTCTGTTTTTTCTTCTGAAACATAATCAAAATCCGAGTATTGACCAAGATCAAAGTCCGGGTATTGACCAAGATCAAATTTTGAATACTGACTAGTACTCACATTTTTTCTGTTGGCTCATCATCGTCTA